TGTTATAAGCATGAGTAGATTCAAGATGCAATCGCATATGTTCGCCAATACGGGCATCCAGATCTATTCATTACATTCACAAGCAGTCCAACTTGGGATGATATACAAAATCTCTTACTTCCTGGCCAATCGCCGATAGATAGGCATGACATCACAGTAGGTGTTTTCAGACAGAAGCTGAAATCGCTGATGAATTTCATGACAAAACAATAAGTATTTGGGTCTGTGCACTGCTGGATGCACTCAGTGGAATGGCAAAAGAGAGCCACATGCATATATACTATTTGACTTTATCACAAAATCACTTCAAATGAAATCGACGATGTAATATGCGCTGAAATACCGGATTCCGCTGTCGATAAGGATTTGTATGAAGTTGTTACTAACAATATGCGAATTAAGAAACATTCGTCTTCATTAGGATGCATGATGTTCTGCCTATCATAGTTTGTTTGAATATGTCCGTTAACTGGTTCTCCTTGTTTGCATCGTTCAAATGATTTTGTACTCGCATTCCATGTATAATATGTTGGCACTTCCGAATATAGCAGTATATTCGCAACAGCAGTATATTCGATCTTTTTGACATAATGTGAAGAAAGCAATTAACGTTGTTGCCGGAGTGGATTCGGGGTTATTTGTTGCATATTTGCAGCTGTGAAAAAAACGCATTGCCCATTTTCTCGATGTACTGCTAAGTGAAAAGCAGCCGGACTTCTTTCATGTTTGGGAAATGAAAGAATTCGTCATACAATTTTCGTTGCTGCTTATGTATCTTCCAGCCTGATAACGTGCGATTTCATCGATATGTAATACCGCATTCCTATCACTTCTTTCAGGCTGCACACCTATAACTGCCATGTGGCTGCCTTTATTCACGTATTTATAAATGTATTTGATCGATTTAACGGAGCTACAGTGCTCCACGTTTATGTGCGCTTTGTAATTTTTGATAGCAAAGGCGAATACGGAACTACCCACCGGTTATCTACTTCGATGTCACCATTCCAAATTTGTATAGTTGCTAATTTACCACCATCTTCTGCTGATCTTCTTCTGTATAAAGGATATCCACCGTTTCCTGTAACTATGTTGGATATTAATGCTCGAGGATATTGCTTAGACCATTTTTTTGTCTATCGTGCTTGGTGATTTTGGATTCACTGTACCGCAAGGTTCATGTATCATATTTTTCGTCACAACTTCATACA